TGAGAACGAACATGCAACTCGGAAAAAAAGGTTGGTCCCCAGTTGCGAGTCGAGGACGAACTTGCAACTCGGACAAAAAAGGCTAGACCCTAGTTGTGAGTCGACAATGGACTTGCAACTCGGACCAAAAAGGTTGGGCCCCAGTTGCGAGCCGAGGATGCACTTGCAACTCAAACAAAAAAGGTTGTGCCCTAGTTACGAGTCGAGGGTGGACTTGCAACTCAGACAAAAGATGTTGGGCCCCAGTTGTGAGTTGAGGGTGGACTTGCAACTTAGAAAAAAATCTAGCCCCATTTGCGTCGAGAGTGGACTCGCAACTAGGACAAAAATGGTTTGGCCACAGTTGGAATTTCAACTGAATGAAAAGGCTGGACCCCAGTTATGTGTCGAGGGTGGACTTGCAATTAGGACAAAAAAATATTGAGACCCGGTTGCAAGTTAAGAGTGCAATTGCGAGCAAGAAAAAAGGTCAGGCCTAGCTGCGACTCAAGGGTTGATTGCAACTGGGACAGAAAAGGGCCAGGTCCGAGTTACAAGTCAAGGGGGGTATTGCAACTCGGACAAAAAGGTTCGGTCCCTAATTGTGAGTCGAGGGTGGACATGTAAATAGAAATAGAAGTCGGGTCCCATTGCGAGTTGACGATGGGACTTGCAACTAAGACAAACAAAGTTCAGGTCCTAGAGTCCAGAGTGGACTTGCAATTTGGAGGAAAAAATGTTAGGCCCGAGTTGCGAGTCGAGGACGGACTTGCAACTAGGACAAAAAAAGACCCTGTCCCAGTTGCGAGTCAGGGGTGGACTTGCAACTAGGACAAAAAAAATATCAGACCCTAGTTGCGAGTCAAGGCGGACTTGCAAATGGGACAAAAAAAGAACGGATCGCAGTTGCGAGTCGAGGGTGGACTTACAACTAGGACAAAAAAAGAACAGACTCCAGTTATGAGTTGTGGGCCAAAAAAAGCGGAGTCGAATAGGCCTAGGCCAAAAACGGATACACAATAAACAAACAACAACAAGGGAGACGGAAGGTAGAGCTTGCAGGAAAATGATGGAAAAATAAATCAAATGGTGAATTTAAAAAAGTACTTATAAAATTTTAAAAATCATGGATTTAAAAGACTAAAAAGGAGAAAAAACAAAAGTTTAAAAAGATGGGACCTCTCTTGCATGTCAGTGTGTGGTTGGACTTGCACCTAGAACAAAAGTTAGGGACAAGTAGACAAAACATAACAAAGAGACACAGGAATACATCATCCAACACCAGGAGATCAAAAGTTTACGCGAAAATTACAACAACAAGATGCAATGGTGACAGTGACTAGTTGCATGACAAGGGTGCACTTGCAACATAATCTAAAAATATGTTGGGCCGAGTTGCATCTTGGTTGTTTACTTACAACTGCGATAATAAAAATAAAAGAGACAAGCTCCAGCTTGCATGTTGTTGGTCGACTTGCAACTAGAATAAAAAATAAAATGGCGAACCCAATTAGGAGTACACTTGCAGGAAAAAAAAACGTTTTGACCCAAATGCATGTCGGTGATCGGATTGCAACTGGAACAACAATAATAAAAAGACAAAAGGTTCTTACATATTAGGGTTAGACATGAGAACAAAAATAAAAACAAGAAATTGGCCGTTGCCTGTCATTGTACTGTTCAGAAACTTGGTCAGGTCGCCTCTACTCCTTAGACAAAGAGCAATGAGATAGAGAGAGCGAAGAAACAACCGACGAGCCAGCGGTCAGCTCATCTCTTCAACTTATAAAGACAACACTTATCTTCAACTACAACAAAGAAAAAAAAAGACCACGAAAAATGGCCCCAAAAAGAAAGACGCATGGTGTGATGGGCTACAAAATGAACAACAGACGAGCGACACCGGACGCGCGGGACAAAACAACCCCGATCAAAGAATTGCACAAAATTTGTAGAGACAGATCAAATGGACTGAAACTTAGATGAGACATCACACTCATCTATATGAGTTTTAACAATTTTGAAACATGATTTACTATTCCGTGGAAAAGTTGCAGAGATGAATACTCCCTCCGTTCGGAATTACTTGTTGCAGAAATGGTTGTATCTAGACGTATTTTAGTTCTAGATACATCCATTTCCGAGACAAGTAATTCCGAACGGAGGGAGTACAAATCAAAACAACGAAAAAAATGCATAAACAATCATACAGTATATACACGCACAAAGGAGATGCATGCACACGTCATCTGATTTATACACGTATCATAGTATTGCAAGGTGGAGAAAAAAGAAATGAAAAAAAGACAAAAAAATACCTCACAAACTGCAACAGCTGCAGTGTTTATGGAAACAATATAACAATAGACAAAAAACAGAAAAAAAAACAGAAAGGAAAGGCAGCCCACGCTAGCACATATGCGCTAGCCCACGCTGGCACGCTGCAGGCGGGCTGCGCGAGCGCACGCTACAAATCGGCAGATCGTACAATCAAACTCGAACAAATCAGCAGATCATCAGCGCACGAATTTTAAAGACAAAACAAATCCAACGATGAAGGACTTAGATATGAGATAGTTATTTCACATCTATATGTGAAATAGCAAATCCGTATTTATTTTCTTATCTTTTGGTGCGTGCACTGTTCTCTGCTTGGGCACGTCATCTTCCTCCTTTCTGTTTGATGACCCCAGGGCTGCTGCGCGACAATGGAGCACGGCCAAGGGTCGCCGTCGTTCTGTTCTCGCATTTAATTGACCTGACCCACCGCCGGGTGAACGGCTCAAGTGCCGCTGCCGTCGGCGGTCCTAAAGTGGCAGGCCATCCCTTCGTTTCTCGACTGCGACCACGCAACTTCACACAAAAACAGGTGCGCAACGGCTCAACAAAGCGAGCCATGCATGATAGGCGACGTTCTTGGCTGCGGAGGTGCGGACCGATGGCGGCTGAACCGAAAATCGTCGGTGCCCTTGAATCACAGAGGAGACGTCGTGACTCGTGACTGGCTAGTCATGGACGCTGGAGCAGCCGGCTGCGACGGTTGAGGACGTTGGCGACCACGCCCCAGCCGCTTCGGGGCACGTCCTAGAACTTGCACGCACGCAAATGCCAGCCTCCAAGCCGAAAAGTTGAGAGAGATTTGTGAAGATTATAGATATGACTTGTACTAGTAGGTCCCACAGAAATGAGTAATCC